ACATCATCATCACCAGTATTCATATTTTCTACATTAAAAGCAGGATGTAAATCTGTAAGAATTTCATGTATTTCATCCTCTTCATCATCCTCGCCAATTACATTTTCATCATTTTCAGATTCAGAATCTGATTCTTCTGTCTCACCTGTCCTCTCTCCATGGTGATACCAAAAGGTATAATTTTGAATCGTTCCATGTACTATTAAATGTGATATAACCATCTCTCGTGTTCGAGAAATTGCATTACAACATTTAACACATGGACATCTTATTTCATTCGCTTCCCTCAATCTTGTAAACGTATAATTCAAAAAGTTTTCTACCCCATGTATATAAGCATCATCAAGTCTATTATGAATAAGTTGCATCTATTGCTTATCGGGTGCCATAATCCGGTCTAGACAATAGAATGTGGAACAAAAGTATTTCAATAAAAAGTACAAAAGGTGCAGCAACTAAAACTATATTTAATCGGCCAAGAATTAATAATCAATCAAACAAGTTCGAGAGGGGGTTGACAAACTTTAAAAAAATAGTGATATCTCCTGCATGCTAAGATACTTCATTCATATAAAAAATAGTTCTCAGTTTCTCTTACAGCTCACTAAATCATATAAAAAATCTACAAGCTTTATTTTTTATCTAAAAGAATTAATATGGACAATTTCTGGAAAACTATCAACTAATAAAAACTTATTTGTTGAAGTTAGATGCAACTGAATTTCAAATACATTTTCGTTAATTTACAATTGAATTTCAAAGATTAAAAAAAACATACAAAAAACAAGAATGAGACAACATATAGAACGCCAAAAACAAATTGAACTTTATAGAATACAGAGAGAGGAAGCTTAAGTATTTGGCTGAGAGAAGGATAAGAAAAACTAAGTGTTTCTCGCTGCTTTTTATAGCTCACTCTAGATTAATTAGAAGAATGTCGATTCATATAAACAAACACTCATATACAACGACTTAGAAGTTCAACACAAAATTGGTTGTATTTGGTAAAAAAAAAAACTGGCTAAGAACAGAGACCAAATACAATAATTCTGATCATACATAAAAAAGTTACGATCTTCATGTTTGATCTAAAAGACTTATTCTCGATTAGTTCTGTAATATCTTAGCGGCTAAGGAATGATTGAATACAAGAATTAGACAACATATAAAATGTCAAAAACAAATTGAACATCATGGAATACAAAGTGGTGTGTTAAAGGATTTGACAAAGACAAGGAAAAGAAACACTTACAGTTCCTGCAACTCTGTACAATTCATTTATTCTATATTGATAAGAACTCTATCGATTCATATAAACTATCTTTCATATAGAATAATCGATAAGTACAACACACAAAAGATTGTGTTTTGGTAAAAAGAATATCTAACGGGATGAGAAACAGAGAACATCTCCATCAATCCTAATCATACCTAAGATATATTCTTAATGATTTCAGGGACAATCTTAGTAGATAAAGAATGATCAATGTTGCCTTTAAACATTATATCGTCACATTCGATTTTATATAAAATTGAGTTTCAGAAACAAAAACAACTTTTAGACAAAGATAAAATCGTCACACTAGTTCCATTTAGAATTGAATTCTAGAAATCAAAAGCTATCTAGATAATGAGTAAGCATGTTCAGACGGGCTATAGAACGTCAAAAACAAATTAAACAACTTGTAGATAGAATAGCCATAGGCTTTCCCAACTCTGTAGTAGCACCACACACTCCTAACCATGACAGAGATATTACTATTGATGTTTAATACTCACAATTTCATCAAAACACTGTTCAATTATGATGAAACACGTCTACTAAGCTCACCCAAGGTGTTTATGACATAAGTAGCCAGAAACTTGATAGTCAAGTTTGAAAAAGCTGGTGAATATCACCTATTTTACACCAATAGAGAAGAGAAATACAATGTAGAGCAGACATGCGAAGAAACGATTTGCTAGAGAGAAGAGAACAAGCACTTACTATTGATTTTGTAGAGGAAGAAGTTCTCAATTGCTTTATAGATTCAAAGCTTATAACTCTTCTTGAAAAAAGAAAAAGAAGAAGAACCTCTCTGTAGATTCACAGCGATCTCTTTTTTCTCTTATGAACAAAGAAAATTGAAACCTAGCTTGGTGCCGTGGATCCGATGAGAAACGTAGGGCTTCTCTCAGATTGTTCCTCAAATAAAAACGAGGGAAAAAATACGCGACTTTTTTTTTGTTTAATTTATTATTTGTAAATTTAATATTTAACCCAACTATAATTATTCTTCAATACTAAAAAATAATATATATATATATATACACACATACTAGTAATTTGTTTTAACGACCGGAAAATAATTTTAGAAAGACTAATATTTATCCCATCGCTTATACTATATTAAAAATTAACTCTAACGACCAAAAAAATTATTTTGTCGTTAGGAATACACTTTTGACGACCACATCTATGTCCCTTCGTTAATAAATGGTCGTTAAAAAGCACTTTTCTTGTAGTGATGGCCATGAAACACATACCACATATATGTTGCTCGTAGTACTACTACTGTGAAGATGAAGATTCTAGAATGTGATGCCAGTTGTTAATCAAGATAGTAGTTAGTTAGATAATTTTGTCAGTAGTTAGTAGAGGTGTGTGTGAAATAACTGATTGTAATCTGTACATATATACTAGTGCATACAATGTAAATGATTAGGAAATACAGAATAATGAAGGATTGACAAAAGGCTTTGATTTCAGTTTTCTTTCTCTCTTAATTCTCCATAGCTACAACTTCCATTGAAGAAGACTGTAAGCTTTCTTAACATGATATCAGAGCAGTAGATTTGCTATTTTTTTCATTTTTTTCTCCTTCTTTTCATCCTCTATTTCGTGATTCTTATCAATGGCGGAACGAATTGATCACAACCATCCTTTGTATGTGCATCCCTCCGATACTCCTGATGTTGTTCTTATTCCCGTTCAGCTAAAAGAATCGGAGAATTACAGGATATGAAGAAGATTGATATGAGTAGTAATTGTTAATTGTTAAAGAATATAAGCATATAGATGTGAATTGAAATAGACTATAGTATATATGATGGGTCTTGACTAGTAATGAATGAGATTGAGCCTTTATGGTGAACTAAGACTAGAATTGCTTAAAGATGAAGCTTGTGACTATAATATCTTGAAATATAGGTATGAATGATGATAGTAAGAAGTAGAGCTTTAAGATTAACACTTGTAGTCATGAATGTTGATCACTAGGGTTTGAAGGTAAACTCAATATGATGAACTATGAATGTTAAGGCTTTGAGAGTAAAGTCTGTATGTGAATTTAGAAGATTAAAGTATAGAATTGTGGTAGAAGACCTATACCTACCTAATTTACATTATGAGTGCTTAAGTGCACAAAGTGTTAGAATCACTTGAGTTATGCTAGTATCCATGTCTAATGTAGAATTCTTGATATGGTATCATGCATGAGTATGATATGATATAAAAGGTTCTCTCACATAGAATGATTCTAGGTTGAAAGTCTATTCTCACCTAAAATGAATCAAAGTCCAAGGGACTATGAAATGTGATGAGGTTGTGGTGATTCCCCTAAAAGACCTTTACATGGTAAAAATGTGAGGTGACTTCCCTTATTCTTAATTAGTTAAACATGAGGTGATTACTCACATCATGGTAGGGGGAGTATGAGGTGATTACCCTTAAGTATGTATGACCTCAAGGCAAGCGGTTATTATCCATTAGCCTTTATGTTGATCAAGGAGGTGATTACCTATGATCCTTATGTGATGATGTGGAGGCGAATACCTAAATTACACATTAAAATGAATATGGAGGCGAATACCTATATTCCATTAAAATTAACATGGAGGCAAATACATATGATTCATTAATATGTATGACTAGAGGAGATTTCCCTTATCTTTATGATTCATTAATATGTATGACTAGAGGAGGCTACCCCTGTCTTTATGATTCCATGATATGTATGCCTTGAGGTGATTCCCTTTGCATCTATGAGCATGAGCATTACTAGTTTGGATTGTAGTTGATATGCCCCTTCAATACATGCATGACTTAAGGTGATTACCCTTGTCCTTTATGATGAGATATACATGTATGACTTGAGGTGATTTCCCTTGTTTCTAGTGATGAGCTTAATATGAGAATATGAGATGATACATATGAATGAAGAGCTTAAAGTGTCTAGTCTAGCATGGGTAGGAGTATGTGATCTTATTCATGCATTGCACAAGCTTATCTTGAGGTGACTCATGAAGTGTTTCTCTCACATGATGTATGCTTAGATTGGATGTTGTTATAGTTATCGTCCTTGATATCTTGACTAAAGGTGATATTTCTCTTGTATATATGAAGTAAGCTAAGAATGAGACCAAATGAATGGTAAGTATGAATAAGGTGAATTCAAGGTTATGCTTAGTGTGAATGGTATTATGGGATGCCCTTCCTACATTGCACAAACATGCTTTGAGGTTACTTAGGAGTGTAGTGCTCTTATGAATTGAATGCCCAAGACTTGACTATGCATATAGACTATCATTAAGATGATCAAAAAGGGATACTTAGCTTGGATGGTATTATAGGATGCTATTCATGCATTGCATAAGTATGCTTTGAGGTTACTTGAGAGTGGTCTTATTATGATGTAAATGACTAGGAGTTGAATAATGCTTATATGATGCTTATGATTGGAGACTTCACTTATGATTATGATATTGTCTCTTATGCTTATAGTTGATGTTTCATGAAATATTTCTTATGTTTATGGATTATGTCTCATGTTGACTAACTCTTTTGATATGCTATTATGATATTATGCTAGCTAACATATTTAGTACGTTTTGTACTAATGCATACTTTGCTGGATTATGAATAGTGTCACACCATCGCTTTTCATCGCATAAAGGATTCAGTGCGAGATGAGCATCATAAACACTGGAAAACTTGTAATGCACTGGTTCTTTCATGGATTATGAATAGTCTCGCACCATCGCTTCTCCGTGGAATCGTTTATGCTTCGAATGCTTTTTTATTATGGAAAGACTTGAAAGAGAGGTTTGACAAGGTCAATCGCATGAGGATTTATCAGCTGCATAAGGAGATCAACTCAATTAGTCAGGGACCAAGTACTCTAGATGAGTATTTTACGAGGCGGAAGGAATTATGGTCTGAATTTGATGTAATGGTCCCTTCCCCTGATTGTGGTTGTGCTAGAGGCAAAGAATATGTCGAACACCTTCAACAACAACGTCTACTACAGTTTGTAGGAGGTTTGAATGATTCCTACGATCAAGCTAGACGACAAATTCTTATGAAAACTTCTGAACCCACTCTAAATCAAGCTTATGCTTTGATTATTGAGGATGAATGCCAAAAGGGATTTAGCCTGAACATTGTGCCTCATTCAATTGTTGGAGGTAATGATATCACAACTTTATGGAGTGCACGAGGGCAATCATAAAATTATAAAAAATCCCAAAATGAACATTGGAATGAGAAGTGTGATTTCTGCAAAATTAAGGGTCATGTCAAGGCAAACTGTTATAGGCTTATTGGATATCCACCAAATTACAAAGTCAAGAAGAAGGAAGGTATTGCAGCAAATAATTCATGCATGGGTGATGGCTCATCTCATAGTTAAAGCACATTTGAGGAAGAAAGGAAACTGAGATTTCCAAGAGAACTTTTAAGCTAAGTTTTTGAGTAATTATCTCAAACCAAAGAAAGAGTTTTGTTTTTACAAACATATGAGCTAAAGTATATTTTGGTAGTAGTATTAAGCACCGATATGGGGATGAGCTTGAGTTCAGATAACTCACGTCTCCATAAACCATGTAGCCATCATGGATAGTAAAGGATCATACTTTTTAGATGACTCCTTAAGATGCTTTTAGCATAGACTAGTGGATCCACTTAGTTAAGGCGTTCTATAAGAAGACAAAGTATAGGATAGTTCTGGCAGCGTGGGCAAGACGTTGTATCACCACATAGGCTTATAGTGGTGGTTGTCGGTTAGAGAATCTCCCACAGAAACTATATTACTTTATTATATGAGTAAAGTTGAGTTTGTTATTGCATTTTGTTTAACGAACTAAGTTGTTTTCTACTATTGTAAAGGCTTTCTATATATTGCATGTTAATTAGTACTTTTTGAAGATATCAATAAATAAATGATCCTTAAATTTTAGGTTAAAGTGCTGAAACACACAAAAGCAAGGGTTTAGGAATAAATTATCAACTTTAATACTCCATGTTCATAGACTTGAAACCAACTTTGTTCCTAACCAAGTTGACTTTACATTGCATAATTTGCACTATAATAATTGATAATTATATTTTAAAAGGTGAAAGCATAAGATGTGAGGGTTTAGTTTGTTATTCATATGAATACATCTTAAAACGTTAGAGATTAATTTGTTAAAATTAAGTATGCATAGTTGTATGCTATCAAGCCAAGTTCCAAACATCAACCTTAGGGTCGTTTGGTTGCTGGTTGGGAAGTTATTTATTTATTTAGCTAAAAAAATAAAAGTTTAAAATGAGCATATGTAATATTTTTTTAATCTTAATTTATGTGAAGATGTTTGACCATGCATAGAGTTTAAGAGAAATTGATTTGTTCTAAAAAAAATATTGTGATCTAAAACTAAAAGAAGCCAAATAAATTTTATGACTAGATATAAATAAATTCATTTAACGATAAGATGAAAAGTTTAACTTCAGTTGTTACTAAATATGGAAAACGTTATTTAAAAAAAAAAAACTACTTAATTTAAAACAGAGAAAGTGTCACAAAATTGGGACATAAAGAATGACATGTAAGTTAGCTTTTTAGTTGACTTGTATCAAATTTAGCACATTAAGTACAATATGGTTATCATCTTATAATCTCACATAACTTGAGGGTCATATGTATTTTGAAAAAGGTGTAATATTTTCTTTTGTTATACGATTCATGTTATCATATATGCCCTTAATATTGTTAGAACTTAGCACCAAAGCGTTATATATATAATTGAATGAATATACTCAAATGGAATTTATATTTTTCTACAGAAAAAATGATACTCCCTTTGTCCCTAATTACTTGTCCACTTTTTTATTTATAGTTGTCCCTAATTACTTGTCTATTTTGACAAATCAAGAAAGGGCGATTTTTTTTACCTATTATACCCTCAATTAAATGACTAATTACTTTGAAAAATCCAGAACTTTTCATCCACTTCATAATTAATAGGGGTAAAATGGTAAACTCACTATGTCATTAATTGATTTCTTAATAGGTGTGTCGGTTCAAAAGTGGACAAGCAATTAGGGACAGAGGGAGTATTTAATTAGTGATAATTAATTAACAATAATAGTTTAATTGTTGCTAAATATATAATTTTAGTGATAATTAACATTCTTTGAAAATGTCCTTAAAGCCTATAGCAACACTAGATTCAATGAAACAATAACAATTACCTAATACCAATAAAAAAAACACATTTTATTAATATTCATATTTAATACCGCTGAAAATTATTTTTACCATAGTAATAGTAATTTAAACTACTTGAAAAAGTGAGTAAATGTATTTGGTCCTTTCCATTCTTTCAATTACTGTGGGAGTGAAGAGGCTTTTCAACAGCACGTGTGCCTGTTAAATGGTCAAAGTAAAACCTCATTGTCCAAAAATAATGGAATATAATTAATTCACTATTTTTCTGTCCTTTCATCCAAAGTTCAATTATATAAATATTTTACTAATCTTTATTACTAGAGAGATTAAGAGGGAAGATACATGAATCCTATAAGTGGATGTTGCACTAATCATTTGTTAACTCATAAATCAAGAAGATTATTATGTGGTCAAAACATCAAATCCAATATGGAAAAATGAAAAAGAAAGATGTGTTCAGACATATCTACATAAATGATAGAGTTGACGTTTGAATTTCTTTCTATCCTCTGGTCTTTCTTTAAACCAATTTGGCAATTTTAAAATGATTTAGAGGCATTTTTTTTCTTTTTTGGCTATTTTGCATGGCTTAGTTTAGAGGCAAACATGCATCGATCATATCTTGAGATTTTCTATATGTAAAAATTATACATGCATGTAGCAAGTTGAGCTTGAAGAAGGGGTGGCGCTAAGTATGCTCGGGATGTCCAAGCAGCCATCATTCATCGGAAAATTATATTGTATATATAAGTAAGATAATACGATAAATGGTTAAATAACATATTTTAGACACCCTTAAAACATAAAAAAGTTGTAGCCTAGTGGTTTCTGGGTCACAGGGAAAGTTCAGGCTTTAGGTGATTGGGAGTTTGAATCTCGCTTGATGTAGAGTTAAACCTTTTTTCCTTCTTCACATTTTGAATTATGCCTTTTTCCGTCTTCACATTTTGAAAGAGCGGTTATTTTTAAACATGAACATTAAAGTAATCTTTTTAGTACACTTACAGGTCCCAAATAAAATACTTGTGTAATTTTTGAACACTATTCGTGGAATTTCTGGCCTAAAGTTGAAGCATAATATAGTAACAAGAAAATTGAATAAATCCTAACAGGATTGTTTATCTTTCAAGTCCTAACATTAGAATCCTAATATTATGTAACATTTTTAATGTTCAAGAAATAAAAAAAAACATGGAAAAAATAATAACAAAGTAATTATTAACGGATTAATGATAATTTATAGTTGTCATAAGTTTAGTAGTCTATAATTGACATGATATTTGTATTTCTTATTTCTTTTCCAATTAATATGAGAATTTTTTTTCAATATTCTTATGTTCCCTAATTTAAATATGATTCATGCAACAATATGACATTAAAGACCAATAATTAATGTATTCCAATATCATACACTACTTTTTAAATCATTGAATTTCATTTATATATGATGGTTAAATTTTTTTGGGCCAAAGTGATTGACCTTGCTTTAATAAATATTTCCTACCTTATAAGATAAAAACCAATATTATCAAACTTGATACCAAATTCATTCAGAAGATCAACCACGAGCTTGTGTATATAATTGTTATGTAACTGATTTTAATGGCACACTTAACGAAATCTAAAGGAACTCATGTTTTGTAAGCAACAAGTATATAACTAGAATTCCAATGTATAACTATTGTGGATATAAAAATGTAAATTGTATATCAATATATTTTGTGTACATAATCTGTATTCAATTAGTATATAAATAAAATTTCAATGTATAACTAATATGAATATAAAATTACAAATTTATATTGTGTATATACAATTGGTATGTAAATGGTATAAGTTGATTTACTTAGATTATGTGCAGAGACTATACTCAAAAATTCATAATCTAGCTGATTTGCCTAGATTATTTTTTTGGTCCAGAAGAAATATATCATGTTATATTAAGAGAAGTTACCAATATATATCATCCGGTCATTTAGTTTGCCAAATATGGTCAAAGTATACACTACATATACTTTTGATTGTATATAGTGTATACATATTATGTATAGGTATATACATTGTATGTATAGCCATATAGGTATGTATAGATATGTATATTGTATGTGTACGTATATATATATATATATATATATATACGCATATATATACATATATTTATGTAAAGAATTCACTATTTATACACGATGTACATATTTTGTAATTTGATGGCCTAAAGGTATATATTGCGTTCTAATTTATCTTGGCAGCCTCTAAAGTTGGCACAATTTTTTCACTTAGACACCTCAAGTAAGCCTTGTACATTTTAAATGATGCCTCTTAACAAAACTTATTTTTATACATGTTATGCCTTTGAACCCTTATCACAAGAATGGATTTGACATTCTGAAATTATTCTACCTTGTTAAGTTAACTAATGGGTATCAAGTATATTTCAAAATTGTCTAGTAGTGATTGGACTCTTGCTGTAGAGAAGGCATTTACAAACAATTATACAATGAACTCTTCCTGTCTAAATTGCATAGATTAACTATTGTTGCTCAAGGATCAAATATTGTCTAAAAGTGGATGGATTTTGCCTTGCAAAAGGCACTTAAGTCCAATGCTGAAATGAACTCTCTTTCTCTCAAGATTCCTATATAATGTGCACACACAAAACTTCCACTACAAACACAAATTTACAGAATATCTATCATTTCACAAACCATAAACAGCGTTCAATATGGGTAAGAAACCACAGTAGCTATCTTTGTGGTCTTCCTTTGTGTTGTTACAGCCACAGCCTATGATAACAGTGGCATTAATCAAGAGGCTTCCAAATCGATTCGGTAATATTATTGTAAAGACTCCTACCAGAAGTCATGAACATCCTATGCACAAGGCAGCTCCTATTATCCCTGAAAACAATGGTGGATCAAGTACCCTCCGAAACACGGATATATTTGTGTAACAGTTGATGACGACTACTATGATTTATGAAGGGACTTACATTTGGTTTCATATAATACTCTGATGATGTT